GCGGTGTGGGGGCGGGGTTGCGGGGCCGGTGGCGGGCCTGCGGGGTTAGGCGGCGGGGTACCCGGGGCTGGGCGGCGGCGGGGGTCGTCCGGCGGTGGCGGGGTTGGATGAACCCCGCGGCGGGGGTCCGGGGTCCGCAGCCTAACACCGGCTTTGCCCCCGGGGTTCCCCGCTCGACAACGCTGCCGATATCGAAGGTGCCAAGTTCGTCAATGGTCGCGAATCGGCACGCGTGGATACATGTAGGCTGCGCAGATCAGATCGCGCTTACACGCATCCCCGCGAGGTATTCGCTTGTTTCTGGACAAACAACTACCCAATCATCTAATCACTCTATGATCCGCACGCAATCGTTCCTGAGCTATAAGGCATCGCAGCAACAACGGTGGCTCAAAAAGGAATAAACAACAATGAAAGCAGTAATGACGACTACGCAGAAGTTTCTACTATGCTCATGAGTGTATCAAAAAGGACAAGCAAAGACAAGGACCAGACAAAAGAAAAGCAACAGACATGACATTCATTCATCCATTCATTCGACAGAACACACACAACAAACGAGATCAACATCAATCGCAAAATGAGTGTGGGCTGAAACCAAGACAAGGATTCCGAAGACAAAAGAAAACGGGTGAGTCGCTCTGAGCCGATATCAAAATTTATATACAAAAGCAAGGAGGGGGAAAAGACAAAGAAAACTGCAAATCCACGTCCATCAACCTCAGCTCCCTCTCCTTCTCTCTCTCTCTCCGATGCGGACAGTCCGTCGTCACGCACCAACCCACGAAGTCGTCACCCCGCTTAGTCCTCCTGCACCCGTCAGGTTCGCCCGCGCTCTACAGTCTGTCGTAGCCCCACGCGTCAATCCCGTGCATTCGGCACTAGCTCGTCGGGTCGCCGACTCCCACTTCAACTCACCTCTTACTTCGCTCGCGAGCCGACCCTCACTGATCACGCTCCCCGAGCTTCCAACAACTGGTTAAGAGAGCTATCCAATCGCGCAGCCGGAATTTATAGCGTGCATGCATGCGCAAAGAACACAGAATTGCAAGGACTTAGAAAGGAGATTAGGAGAGGAAGCGTCTGCGTTCTGCATGGCGGGGCGTAGCCTCTCTCCACACATCGATCCGAGCATGCAGTCCGCGGGCTAGCTAGACACAGCAAGAGAAAAAGCGAGAGCGGGAAAGACGAAATTCAAGAAGAAAGATACAGTTACAATGACGCCCGCCCAAAATTACAGTTACACACACGATTAAGGGCGCCAACTAATCAGAAGTCCGTTGCAGCCGCCAAAAAGAAGCGCGTAAGCAAAAAGCGCTGCACGACAAAAGAAAATCATAAATAAGTAAAAATTACTAAATTCCTAGATTCCTAGCTAATGCAAAAAGAAGCACAAATTCCGAAAAGAAAATCCGAAGTTCCGAGAGTCGTCAATGGCTCGACAAGATTCGAAAAAGAAATTCAAAAAGAACGAAACAAAATTCTCGCGCGACCTCCGTGCCTAAATCCGACAACAACACAAAAAAGAAGCAACGTCAACCATTATTAATCGCGCCTGGTCGGCGCGACAACCACTCAATCAATTATCCCGGGACTTGCCCGACCCTGAATCCAGCCATCCAAAAAGAAGCGACAAAAGAGAAAAGACGAAAAAGCGAGGACACTGATGCAATTCTCCCTCAATCCCGATCTCCCGTAATTGGCCCATCCTTCCCAGCTTAGGACCCCTCATTGTTATCGCGCAGAAAATCGCGTGGAACAGAAATCGGTTCGTCACATATGTGACGCCCAGGGGGTTCCTGCTTGCTTGAATCATGACACGTGTCGATTTCTCTAATCGATCGACACGCGGAGCTTTTCGTTGCCACTTACCGTCCGAAAAGAGTGTGGACGTCATCCAGTGTGGCATACGTGGCTTTATTCTACGAATTCCTCAGGAAGGGCTCTTTTTAATCCAAGCAGCAACAGCTCCAGACAGAAATAACTGCAAAATGGAATGGTGTCAGAGCACAAATCCAGCTTCTCAATAGACGTGAAGAGATCAAACAAAAAATTCAGGAATTTAGCTCAAGTTGGCTTGGGGGTGCAAATGGAGGAAGGATAGGAATGGTGGAATGGAATGGAGGACACACAATACCAGGGGAGGACCAACAGGGAATGGAGTTAGTAAGGGACTATCACCTGAGGTTCCAAGAATGGACCAAAGTGGATGCAGCGATCCCACTGAAACTCCCTGAGGCATATCCGGACTTCTTCCCTCCCCCATCTAATTGTCTAGTGGAAACGAAGTGGTACGGAATGGACTCTACATAACTTTAGTTCAAAAAAGAAGGTTTGGGTACTTAACGGGTGGGAGGGGAAGGGGAGGGACTAGTTTTGGAATAGTTGATATCTGGCGCCCGCCTCAGGGCGAAGAGGTTTGCTCCCCTTTCCCAATAGCCTGCTCAGTCAATCCCCTGGACTCCAGGGTAATCAATGCTGGCAGGAACCCCGTATTTGTCTTCCGTGGACACTCTAAATTCTTTCTGTATATGGGACGCTGGACCCGGTTTCCAGCAGGTGACGCTCCCCACCAATAGATGGAGCCTCTCCCCAGGTGGTAGTGGTGTCTGCTCTTATCAGCACCTCGAATGCTAGGGGGGGAAGTTGTCTGGAAAAAAAAAAAAAAAAAAAAAAAAAAAAAATTCTCAGGGGACTGGTTGGGGACTGAGCAAGGGGGTTGGATAGCCTATATTCGATGGAAAGAAGAGGCCCCCCCCGTGCACAGTCAAGGTGAGCCAAGAAGAGATTATACCCTTTGTTTCAAGGAATGGATCAGGACAGACCCTGCAATACCGCTGCGCCCCTCCTCGGAATTCCCTAACCCCTTCCCGCCCCATGGTCTCTCAATGGTGGATCTGCAATGGTATGGAGCAGAATAAATTCATGCAAAGGAAGTAGCTGCCTTCAAGCAGCAGCAAGCCCAGAAAGTGGGAATTGGGACAGGGTGTGTGGGAGCAGCGGAGGGAGGGTGAAATTAGATCTTAGCAACAACAGCAACAGGTACTGCCCCCTATTTCTCAATAACCTGCACAGTTAATCCTCTGGACACCAGAGTAATCAATGCGGGCAGGCGTTTTCTCACTACACCCTCATAAGGCATAACGGATCATCATACTGTGGGGCTGGGGGAGGGAGGAACTAGGGTGTAGCAGTCTATCTGGCGCCAGGTTCAGGGTGAAGAGGTTCCCCCTTCCTTCTAATATCCTCCCCAGTCAATCCCCTGTACCCCCGGGTAATCAATGCTGGCAGGAACACCCCACAATTGTTTTCTGCTGTACTTCAATTTCATTTTGTATAAGGGACGTTGGACCCGCTTTCCAGCAGGTGATGCTCCCCGCCAATAGATGGAGCCTCTCCCCAGGTGTTAGTGGCGTCTGCTCTTATCAGCACCACTAACACTGAAGGAGGCGAGTTAAAAAAAAAAAAAAAGCTCTGCCCTGGCCCACAGCTGGTCATGTTCCAGATAATTCCCGTACAGCGTGTTACACAGCTCAAGCACAAGGGGTTTGGGCCATGGCAGGCCCTCGTGGAGGAACAGTTCTGGTTATCGCAGTCCTGCTGCGTCAGGGAGGCTTGCACAAATTGATCAATTTTGTCCAAAAACTCGTTAACGACAAAAATTATGGTGGCCCCCACCTCCATCCAGTCAATGGCGGACACATCATCATGCTTTTCCACTACTGCCAAGATTTCATGAGAAATGTCTTTGCCTCTTCCGAATACCAGGTTGTGATTTTGTCAGTCAGCCTGTCATCAGTTAGCAAGAAGATTTTCAGCAGTGTCCAATCAGTGAGGAAGCACAGTTTGTGTTTGACATCCTCATTATTGGCAAGTGTGGAAGCATTTTCCATTTCCACATCCGTGTGGGGGTCCGGTTGGTGCTCTGGTGGACGGTCCTGATCCGGGCCAGAGGTGTCCATTTCCTGGATCTCCTGACCGCCGTGCCGATCTCTTTCTGCGGGTGGCACGAGCAGGCACTGGTTCTGCTGGGGCGGGGGCAGTGCCATATGGCGTTGCTGCTGTTCCTGTTGCCACAGCCTTTGTTGGTTCTGCTGGGGCGGGGGCAGTGCCATATGGCGTTGCTGCTGTTCCTGTTGCCACAGCCTTTGTTTTCCGTGCTCTTGTTGGCCATGGGCGTGGAGATACTGCTGCTGTTGCTGGACGACCTGTTGTTTCTGGTGGCAGAGCTGCTGTTGCCACTGAAGGTGGATGTGATGCAGGGTTTGTTGTTGCTGTATCAGGATGTCCTGCTGGTGTTGTCTTTGGTCTTGAGCGAGCTGTCCATGTAGTAGTAGACGAAATTGCTCTTCCACATAACCCTGTTGCACTTGTTGTTGTTGTTGCTGCGCCTGCCATTGCGTTTGCTGTGTATGCTTATGGTGTTCATGTTGCAGTTGTTGATGCTGATATTGTTGGCATTGCGCAGCGCGATAAAGAGTTGTTGCAGCTGCTGTTTGTGCAGCTGTTGCTGTTGCTGTTGGTGCTTCTGTTGGCACCTTTCCAGTTCCAGCTCTTGCTCCAGCCCCTGCTGCTGCCATATCTTTGCCTGGTTCTCATGGTCCCGCTCCTGGTCTTGCGCAGCCGGTGTGTGGTGCTGTTGCTGTGTTTGGACTGCCCTCTGTTGGTCAGGGCTGTCGCTATTTTGGGGCGGGCTGGTTTTGCTGCATCTGGTGGTCGTCCTGGGGCTGGCTTTGCAATTGCCCCGGTGACTGTTGTGGCTGGGTCAGGTGCCCTGCCAGCAGCCTGGGCTGTTGGTCTTGTTGTGACCCGCAGTCCTTTGTTTCTTGGGGAAGATGCATCTTCCCTACTGGCTGTTTGGGCTGGCCCAGGCGTGCTGGCTGCAGCCTGGGCTGTTGGTCCTGATGTGGTCCGCAGTCTTTTGCCCCATCCCGGCCGTGAGGAGCATCGTGCGAGAGCCCCGCCTCTGGTTTGTCGTGGGATGTACGGGGCTCGTGGGCTGTGGGTTCAATCCCCTCGTCATCTTGGCCATGGTTCTTCCCAGTTCAACCCTCCCCTTGCTGAGTGAGGGCGGGGTCCCGGAGTTGTGACAGAGCAGCTCCTTTTATTCTATTCAGCAAAGGATCTGGCTTTGACCCAGACCCCCTGAGGCGAGAGTGCTTTGAACTGTTTGGTTTCCTTGCCATCCTAGGGCTTCTGTTCGGTCCGTGGTCGGGGAAGCACTGGGTGCATGGGTTGGAGATGGGTAGGATGCGGCATGTGATGGAGCTGCGTGCTGATGCCTGTCACTGTGACCCCGTCATTGGGTTGTGTTTGCGGTGTATGTGGCAGGACCGAGAGTGATTCATTTTTGTGGCTCTGTCAGTGGGCTGGCAGCTCCGCCACCATCCTTCTGGGCCAGCGGATCGCTGTGGCCGATGCTTACCGCGGGTGCAGGCTGCTGATTGTGTGGTTAATCAGGCTGTGGCTGGCCCGGACTCCCCTGCTCAGCCATTGCTCCGATGGGCTGATGTTGGGGCTCGTTCGGGCACGCGTCGCCTGTGCTCAAGTGGCCCCTGGCCTTGCATGCGTAACACCATGGATCCTGCAAATGGCTAGTCAGAACCGAGAATTCCCTTCGCCCGTGGGAGTACCTGCACTCCTCATTCAAGGGAAACGGGAATTCGGGGTTCCAATCCACAATCACCGACAGAGAGTCATCTCTTCTTCCCAGAAACTGGGGAAGATCAGTGATGTATCCTTTCACGTGAGCTATGTCTTCCAGGTATGACAAGATGGATCCTTGCACACACAGAGGCGCAAACCTGAATTTCACCCAAAAGTCCAATCGCATGAGGAACTCGCGCTTTTCATCACTAGAGTGAGGGTTGGCCAAAGACCAGGGTGATATTTGTACCGACCTCCCTCTAAATTGCATCACTTTGTTCTTGAGCAAGATGTATTTGTCAGCCGTACACAGCGTGACCACCGTGATGCAATTCGGGTTATCAACTCGGGTTATCGCCCTCAATCAGGACGTGTTCCTGAACCAACTGCGGGGGCGCCTTAATTCTCCCCAATCTATCTGCGATCCAGTGGATTTTGTCATTGATGGGGATTGTCGCTAGCCTTTCAGGGATGCAAAAGTGCACCGCCTTTTGGGCGTAGACTGCATTGCGTGTTTCCATGGCACGGGCTGGGACGATGGAGTGTAATATAGCCCTCTCTCACCTAGAATTTCTTCTTCGGCTCTACCTATAGTTGTTGTATGACTTGGCTTTTAAGTAAGGTCATGGGTGCTAGAGCAAGTCCCCCCAGGGTCGTTCACCTCCGGGGCTGACAATGCTCTCACTAGCTGCGGTGAGGCATGACCGGGGGTGGCAGAGGAGAGGGACCAGGTTTGACCGATACTCCCGCGTTGGTCACCGCACCCCTCCATGTGGCATTCGGGATTACGAGCAGCTTGTCATCATCGTTATCCTTGGCCGTAGCCGCCGGGTTTGGCCCTTTTGGCTGTCCAGTGGTGGTTGTCGGAGCTATGGGTGTGTCTGCCATTTTTTTGGTCCGGTCGTCATTCCCTTCGGATTGCCCCATTTGCTATGTCTTCGCACCAGTGGTTGGCCTGCACGCCTCTCGTCACCTCTTTTCGACCAGTGCACGCACTCTCCCACGGTTGTGGGGGAGTGTTTGTTCCTCCTTATGTGCTTGTGTATTTTTGTAGATCACCTTTGGGCTAATTAGAGGTGTCGTGTCTTATCAGTAGACCCCTGTATTTGTATAGGTATTTCTGTCCTCAGCATGAGGACAATCATATGTTCAACTTTTTCTTTTTCTGACGAAAGCAGGTTCAGTCGGGGTTAGGTGAGGGTGTAGTTAAAGATTGTTTCGGCAAGAACGGTTTGACTCGGAGTGCTGTTGGCATTCAATTGCAGGGCAGGGGAGATCGGGGGGGGGGATGGGGTAGGGTGGGCAAGGAAGGGGTCACGGTGTTTGATGGCGGGTAGGACAGACAAGGGGGTGTGGAGGCGCCACGGCGCGCCCCCTCGGGGCAAGTCCTTGTGTCCGCTGTGGTCTTCTCGTCCCTTCATCGTGCGCGTCGGGCGATGGCAGCGCAGCTGGCGTTCCCGTCTTCTCCCATTCCGGGGTGTGCTTGTTCTCCCTCACCCCAGGTCGTGCCCTTTTCTTCGCTCCTCTCCTATCTCCACCTCCGTGCAACGGGTTTCCCGTTTTGTCGATATCGAAGCTCACGGTCATCACGTCAGGTGGCACTGACACGGCCGGCGGTCCTCTCTTCCCCCTGCCGATGAGCTGCTTGCTCCCCTCCACTCCGTCGTCGCCGCCCCAGGTTGTCTTCCACTCCTCTTTCCGCCCCCACGCAGATCGCTCCTTTGTCTCTCGTGTGACGTGTTTGCCCAACCTCCTCCCACATCGCGGGCCTTGTTGGAGCCTGTCACCATCAGGCCATGCAGTCCTGCCTCTGCATGGTCACTTTCTCTTTCCGGTGATGTCGAAGTCCACACTCCTCACATCGCCTCTTGTTCACGATTTTGCAAAGTGCATGCAGACTTCCATGAGGGTGACCTCCCTCGTCCGTCGTCTCGGGTGTCTTCTAGGGTGTTCTTCGTTGACATTCCAACTCCAGCTCTCTTCTCCGCCGGCAGGTCGTCGCTGCCTTCTCCAGCTTGTTTTGACGTCCATTGTTCGCACTTGCACGAGTACATCGCCTACCCACCACATGGAGTTTTCCACATCAGCCCCTGTGAGTAGTCGGGGGGGAAGGAAAAGGTTAGAACTAAAAGATGGGAGGAAGCAAGTGGGTTCAACATGGGAAGGGAAGTCTGTCTAAGTAACTAGGTCAGAAGGACGATGTTGGGACGACGCAGGCCGGTGTTGG